CATGGGAGGTGCCACGCCCCCTTTTCCGATAGCTCAAATTCCAAGTTCCAGTACTCCAATGGTATACGATTGAATTCGTTTATCTCCATACCAAGTTCCAGAACTCTACCATGACTACTTTCAGAAATATGCAGTATGAAATGTGCGGTTTGTACGGGAGGCGCCGCGCCCCGTTCTCCCAAAGCTCCAATTTTCCTTCAAGAGTATGCGAGTGATTTTAAATATCTCCATACCAAGTTCCATTACCCTACCGTGAACATTTCCAGAGATATTTAGTATGAAAAATTGGGTTTGTGTGGGTGATGCCACGCCCCCTTTTCCGGTAACTCCAATTTTTCCCCAATAGTATGCGATCGATTTCGTTTATCTCCATATCAAGTTCCAGTACTCTACCATGAACATTTTCAGAGATATGCAGTATGAAAATTTCGGTTTGTGTGGGAGGTGCCACGCCCCCTTTTCCGGTAACTCCAATTTTTCTCCAATAGTATGCGATTGATTTCGTTTATCTCTATATTAAGTTCCAGTACTCTACCATGAACATATCCAGAGATATGCAGTATGAAAATTCGGGTTGTATGGGAGGTGCCATGCCCCCTTTACTAATCGATTTTTTTTTTGGCCTATAGCCATCACAAATAAAACGGCTTTCAAAATGTATATTAGTATAGACATGTGCACTACAGATGAATAATAATGTACACGCAATTATGATAATGATGAAATAAAAGACAAGCTGCATTGCGAAGAATGCTTTGATGCACACCCCACGTATTGCAAAATAAAAAAACTAGAGTTACCGGAAAAGGTATCCCATATCTTAATACAGGCAATAGGCTACCTACGTACCAAATTTGTAGCAAAACGAATAAATACGATTTTTTTCGAATAGATCGGTCCCTGGTCCACTTCCCGGAAAAAAAGTATTCTGCATGTTAACATTGGCAAAAAGCTACCCACGTACCAAATGTCAAGCAAATCGAACAGTAAACACTTCCCGAAAAAAGTATTATATGTGTTAGTGTAGGAAAAGAAGTACCTACTTACCCCATTTAAAGCACATCGAACCACATATAAAATAGTTTCGAATAGATCGGTCCCTGGTCCACATCCCTGAAAAAAAGTATTTTGAATGTTAACCCTGGCAAAAAGCTATCCACGTACCAAATTTCAAGCAAATCGAATCATAAATTCGATTTTTTCGAATAGATCAGCCCTGGTTCACTTCCCGGAAAAAAGGTATCCTATATGTTAACTTAAGCCAAAAGCTACCTACGTACCAAATTTCAAGCAAATCGCACCATAAATAAAAAATGTTCGAATAGATCGGCCCTTGGTCCACTTCCCGGAAAAAAGGTATTCTATATGTTACCCTAGGCAAAAAGCTACCCACATACCAAATTTCAAGCAAATCAAACCATAAATAAGATTTTTTCGAATAGATCGACCACTGACTGATTATGAATATTTTACTTCTTGTTTATGTTTGAGAAATGGATAAGGATGGCATATTTACTAATTGGAAACCGATTAATAATCGAAAAAATTTCGCCAGCTTTCGAGTCGAAACAAAATCTAGTGTAGGTTGTAGCTATGGTCGAGTACAACACAAAAATAGGTTTCGTATAGTTCGTAAACCCTCCATTTTTATTTTATTTAAAAACAACCGTTATGTTCGTACTTGATGCACTTATTTATCAACAGCTTAACTATTTTAAAAACCAAACAAATTTTCAAAAGACTTTTTATAGACCTTTAAAATGGTGTATAACAATATATTGTCAAATTTACCTTGTGGGAAGTTTTCATAGGTTAAACTTTATAAGCTTCTATTTTGCTTGAATCTTTTAATTTTAATTTGACCATCGCTAATTTCAAAAATTTCTATGAAAGTTGCCAAATATGTAGTACTTACTTAAAAGAACATTTATTTTAGAATAAATTGATACCTCACCTAATAAAATTGCATACAAGTTGTGGAAGCTAAGCAATTTAAGCAAAAATACGGTCTTGAATTTATTTATGTATGTAGCGAGCTTTCAGATTTTTTGAGTCGGGTTGCTAAGAAATTCATCAATATTTACTGAAATTTGATATATACTATGTTTCATTGGCACAAAATTCGTTTTTCATAAACCTTTAGGAAAATGGGCGTGGTAGCTCCCACTTATATCATATATGCGTATCTCAAAACCTACTTGACCGATCTCGACCAAATTTGATATACACATTGTGCTTAGCCTCTTGAATATTTTCGGAATAGGATAAAACCAACTCGTTATTTAAGCAGCTTAAGCGCTATGTGTATACCAAATTTGGTTGAGGTCGGTCAAGTAGTTTTTGAGATACACATACAGTATATTTTGCTTTGCTGCCTCTATGCTTAAGTGCACATTTAAGATACCTACCCCAAAATGCGCATCAGAGGCATTATTTTTAACATTTATAAGGAAACTGCTCCGATAGATGCATTTAGCATACCTGTACATTGACGACACCTGCCTTAAAAATTGTGCGACTAGTATCAATTATCAAAGAAAGTATTACGTTTACCTGCACTGACCCTACAATTACCTAATTTTACAACTTTTTATTTATTTTGTTCATCTCGCAGAAGAACGAAAATGGCTATAAATTTATGTAGTTATATAGATAATTTCATACCATTCGGTAAAAATTTCGCTTGCAGTAATTTCTACGTGGTAAGTGCTCCGCCACTATCTAGTTTCATAGGGATTCTGATACCTTCCTCATTGAAGTAGTAAAGAAAATTCGCTTAAGTGCCTTTTTCGGTTAAGTGCACAAGTTTTTCGTGCAAAGAAGGATGTGCAGCTAAGCAAAACATACTGTATATGATATAAGTGGGCAGTGCCACCCTCATTTTCTTAAAATTTCATGAAAAACCACTTCTTTGCTAAATAGCGATTGTGTGTATCAAGTTTGAATAAATATCGATGAATTCCTTGGCCACACTGCTCAAAAAATCTTAAACTCCAGTACATAAACAATATAAATTCAAGGCCGTATTTAAGAAAAGTCCCCTAACTTCGACAAATTTTATGCGATTGCGATAAATGAGCTACCAGTTTATTTAAAATATACATATTTAACTAGTAGAGCACCCGACGTCGTTCGGGATAAACAAATCAAAATATAAAACAGTAATACAAATATTCAGTCCAGCATAAATTAAAGGGGACAAACTATTTTCTTTCTCATTTTCGTTGTTGGTGTTTCTGTTTAAATTAAGGCATCCTTATGAGCCATACTTTTAGCTTTATCGTTCTTCAACTAATATATATTGATCAAGTTCATGTGACTTATGGTTTCGAAGTTATATCTGATAAAGATTTCCACGCCTATGGGGTGCGCCACGCCCCATTTTACAAACTCATTTATATAAATATCATAGCCATGCCTGCATACCTAATTTCAAGTTCGTGCGGCTTATGGCTCCGAAGTTATAGCTTATAAAAAATTCCACGCCTATGGGATATTCCACACCCCTTTTACAAACTCATTTATTTATAGCCTACTATAAAGGAGGTTCCATGGGAAACTGAGCCTCAGAGCACACAATTTTTTCTTTATAAAACTAACAAATGTATGGATAAGACATGAGTACAAATCTTGAGTAAACCAAAAAATAACAAATTAAAGCTTTAAATGCATTTTTATTGCATTTTTTACGTTTTAAAATCAAGTTATAAGTAAATTTTTTTAGTAGGTTTAAAGTAGGTTGTGTTGAAAGTACATACTGCCAAATAATTTGCGATTCTTAATTTAAGTGTTTGGTAAGAAATATATGTAGTAGAACTCATCTGCATTTAATAAAACTGTATTATATATTAAATTGTGCTTTATCTATATTATGAGTTATTATTAAGCAGTATTGGTCTTGTCACACCCGTGACAAAAAGGGTAAAAGTTGTTATATTTAATTACAGAAGTTGAAGTTGTGTTTCGGGTTTGTTATATAATGTTAGAATATCTAATATATAAAAATCTCGTGTCACGGTGTTAGTGGTCGAACTCCTCCGAGACGGCTGGACCGATCTTTATGAAATTTTTTGTGTATATTTGGTAGGTATGAGAATCGGATGTAAAGTATATTTCATACCTCTAGCTGCAGGGGGCGTGGCACCTCCCATACAAACCGAATATTTCATACTGCATATATCTGGAAGTGTTCATGGTAGAGTACTCTAACTTGGTATGGAGATATATCAAAGCAATCGCGTACTCATGGAGAAAAATTGTGCTTATTGGAAAAGGGGGCGTGGCACCTCCCATACAAACCGATTATTTCATACTGCGTATATCTGGACGTGTTCATGGTAGAGTACACTAACTTGGCATGGAGATATATCAAACCAATCGCATACTCAAGGAGAAAAATTGTGCTTATTGGAAAAGGGGGCGAGGCACCTCCCATACAAACCGATTTTTTCATACTGCATATCTCTGGAA